TTTTCTAGATGATGCTCCGCTTCTTTTTCTTCTAAACAGTACCTTGTAACATGAAACTTTGAACAAATACTTACCCTCCAACATCTTCAAAAGTGGCCATCGCTTGAACGAAGTCTTGAACAAAATAAAACCCATGTTGATATTTTGTAATCAGATAGACCATTAATTGACAATAAATATTTTGTCAAGTACGTGAAGTCACTAGACCTTAACTTTAATACGGGGCTTACAAAAAAATGAATGGTATTGTCATCACCTGAAAGAGCCCCCCTCCCCTATTGTACTATTTAAAAACCATTCATCAAACTTTTACCAAACTTACCCTTGGATATTCTATGGAAAAAACGTAAAATTATGAATTTGTGAGGTTTAGGAGCGTGACGTCATCAAACCGGAAGTTGTCATAGGGAGATTTAGAAAATGATTAGACCCGTAGACCCTTAGACCCTTAAAGCCCGCATGGATGTTAAAGTTTTGGAATTTCTCTCGTTTCCTAAATATTTGCCCAAATTCCATAAAACTTGGACACAAGGGTCATTGGGTAGCAAAGATAATGTGCGATATATTTTAGATCAAATGTCATGGGTCAACGGTCAACTGAGGTTAATCATGATGTAACTAACAGTTTTGGGGGAAAGCTTACAACATTCTACATGCTTTCATGGATTTTGATGAAACTTAAATGCAGTGACCCTTGGGTGCATGAGAAGACACAATTCTTCATGGAATTACTGAGGTCAAAGGTCATCTAGGGCTCATTAGAGGTCATTGATCAAATATGTTTCAAATTTTTCTTTGTCTAGTTCAGAATTTGATGGATTATAATGTCACTTAGAAGTTGGATGGAGTGATCCTTTGGTTGTGGTTCATCACAACGCTTCCAAAATTGGAGGAAAACGTCATGTAGAGGTCATTTGAGGTCGTTGTTTAAAAATGCACAAAATGTCAAAAACATTTTTTTAAGAACACAATATATAGGTGACACATGCGATCCACAGATATAAGTCTTGTATTAATTCGTATCAAGTGGCAATGTTCGTGGCACAAATAATGTTATCAGCTACATTGTTGCTGTGAGGTAAACAGACTGTGCTTTCAATACATACATTTATTCATTCCTACATGAAGTTTGTATATTTTGGAATGGTTTATGCAAGCACATTTTTTAAGAAGCTACATAATTTTCCAAAACATTAATCCCACCTTTTCAAACATCAAGATATTACTTTCCAAGTCCAAACATCCATATGAAATAAATCCAGCAGTACACACTGCAAGGAATTGACGTATACTCTGCGCATATTTTTATTATTTTCATGTATATATGCCACTATACATGAAAAGCACTTGCAAGAATAGGTGAAGTCCACCGTTAAGCCGCCCCCCCCCCCCGTGATGCCAGTAGTGTTTACAAACAAGGAAATGCCGCAGCTGCTGTAACCTATGTTACTTGTAGCCAATCACACTAAATTAAATATGAAATATTAAACTTCTAGAATATTCAACTCCCTACTTTAAATTGTAGCTCCACCCCTAAAAAGGCAAAATCCTTGCAACCATTTTAAACTGATCTTTACAGTGTATGGCAAACATAGTTAACCAATGCAGAATTTGTGTTTTACCAGCAAAAGTGTTGCATATTCCCTCGTTTGAATGAAGCTGCTTTAATGTGCGGCCCCCTTTTCATATTTAGGCCACGCCCACAAAAGGGTAAAAAATAACAAGTGTTAGAATGTTGAATTTTTTTTATCATGTCTCTGTGTATTTAAAAGCACGAAGAACAAAGGAATATGGATGATAAATACAGCTTTTCTAAATTTTTATTTGTTTGCACTCCCCTTTTTAACTGATCAAGTTCCGCCCCCAAAATGGGCAAGATCCAAGATGGGTCCATCCCTTCAAATTATTTTCAGCTCATTTCGACTAAACATGCCAATTTACAAGATTTTACCACCAAACTGAACGGTATTTTCCATATTTGAACCAACTGCTAATATATACCACCTCTTTTACACATTTAGGCCACGCCCACAAAATGGGTGGAAAATAACAGGCGCTAAAATGCTAGAATGTCCTATTTTATGTTGAAGTTTATTTTCAAAGCATAGAAAAACTAGAAAAATGGATGTTAAATATAGTTTTTATGGGTTTTTATTGTTTGCACCCCCTTTTTCAAAAAATCAAGCTCCGCCCCCAAAATGGGCAAAATCCAGGATGGGTCCCGATCTTAAAATGATTGCTAGCCCATTTTGACCCAACATACCAAATTTCATGCTTCTACCACAAAGTGCACGATTTTTCGCTTAGCAGCTCCACTATGGTGAGTTAAAAGTTAAATGGTTTCCAGATGATAACCTGGGTTACAAATCAGATTTTGATGTCCAACTATATGCAAGTTGGGATTAGTTTGGAGTCTAAAGGCCAAAGGTAAAGGTCACCGTGGTGAGGTTAAGGTTAATGGTTTCAGGATGATAACTTGAGTTAGTAATACGATTTTTGGTGTCTAACCCTAGTGGTATGGGGTTGCCCTTGGGTACAGCCAAGTTGAGTTTGGTTTTGGGGTCAAAAGGTCAAGGGTCAAGGTCAACGTTGTAAGTTAAATAATAATGGTTTCTGGATAATAGCTTGAGTTAGAAATGAGATTTTTGTGTTAAACTTCAGAAGTTTTTTTAAATTTATTCTATTTGTCTCAAATCGTGGCCCAGATAAAGAAAGACAATGACATTAAAAGCAATTAATTCTAAAAGCGATACAAACTTGCATAATACAACAAAAATATTACATGAGTAAAAATGCCAGGTAATACAATAAAATTGTACGTTAACAAACACCACAAAACCAAGGAAACAGGAACAATACCTGAAAGGGGGGACAACATGCATCTAGAAAAAAGGCACACAATGAAATCACACTGAGCCGGTATTTAAAATGTTTCTGAAGTAAAGGGATGGGGCTTTGTTGGAAGAGCATGGTTCTATTAAGGAGTTGACTTATTTGGTTAATGTTCCTAAGGTTCCTATCATGACTTGCTAGCCTCGAAAGCGGGAGCAAATGAGTTGCTTTTAAATTAGAGCCAAGTGCATTAGCAAGTTTAATGCAATGTCCTACTCTTCTTCTATCTAGTGTATCTAAGTTACAAAGGTTGAGGGCATCAAAGTATGAAGTGTACTGATTCCCCAAGATGGTCCTACAAGCTCGTGTCTGTATCCTTTCAAGATCATCGATTTGCTTATTTGTTAAACTACGGAGTGAGTCAAAATAGCGAAACCCAAACCCCCCAAAATTATATGTCATATTAAAAAAAAATATGTAGCACCAAAAATAATAATGACTGGAAAGCCAATTTCCTGAGCTACTTTTTGATGGAAAAATTATAGATTGCTAAATCAGTTCAAAGAGTATCACCATTTAAACACAATTACCCTTAACCCAGTGGGCAAAATACGTTGAAATAACGTTGAAACAACGTCAGATTCCGACGTTGAACTAACGTTGAATAATGATTGAATTTGAAAGTTGATCTGACGTTGAAATGCTGACGTTGAATCAACGTCAACAGTTCAACGTTGATTTAATGTTGAAAATTTTACGTTGATTCAACGTTGATTAATGATTGAATTTGCAAGGTGATCTGACGTTGTTTTGCTGACGTTTAACCAACGTGGAAAGCACAACGTTGAATCAACGTAGATATTAAAACGTTGATTTAATGTCGGACATTCTACGTTGATTCAACGTTGATTAATGATTGAATTTGCAAGTTGATCTGACGTCATTATGCTGACGTTAAACCAACGTGGAGAGCACGACGTTGAATCAACGTAGATATGTCAACGTTGATTTAATGTCGGAGATTCTACGTTGATTCAGCGTTGATTAATGATTGAATTTGCAAATTGAAGCGACGTGGAAATGTCGACATTGAAACAACGTTAAGATCACAACGTTGAGTTAACGTAGACATTTCAACATTGATTTAACGTCGACATCTCTACATTAAAATAGCACTGACATGATGTTCAATCAACGTATAAATAATCAACATTAAATGACATCCTATTCTTAGAAATATCACAGTTAAATAAATGCAATTCTTGAATCAAAATATTTTAAGGTTTGTGTTAAGATTTAAAGCCAGAATGTACTGATAATGGTGGATGTTGGCATTTTTCCAATCGTTCTATGTTAAATAAATTTGCAAGCTGAGGAGTGTTGTTAAATCCATGTCGAAATTGAATAACTTTAAATTTAAATGAAATTCTTTATCAATCACTTTAATTTTTTCCATAAAAAAATGTGTGTATTTATTAATTAACTTCCAACCTTATCAGCTTATACAACACCTTTTAGGTTTCAACAAAGTAGTAATTAATCCATACATAGTAAAATTCAGAATTAGATTGACTTGTTCCAACAGCATTATAGCCTAAACGAGGGTACTAGTCTCTAAAAAGATACATGATAATGAATTTGATTCTTTTTTCAAAGAAATGCAGCACTGCCCAGTGCATTTACATCGGAAATATAACACGAATTAACAAGCATACAGGTACAATTTTTAAACGTCTAAATTCACTTTTTTTTTTCATTTGCATACAATTCATATTAGTTTTCCAAATTTACCTGCAGCACTATTCTATCATATCTATGAATTTTCTTGTGAAATATTGCAAGAGGTTATGCGGCAGACTTGGGCAAGAGCATTAGAAACTATCAAATAGAAAATAATAAAACAAACAGCATCATTCATACAAAATTAATCTAAATGATTCAATTGAACATTTGAACAGGTCAACCAAGAATCAACAGTAATAACTAAATAATGCACAATACATGTACTGTATATAATTATTATAACAGTCCCCCACTTCTCGAACGTGGAAGTTTCAAAATGAAAAGTACAAGATGCGGCAGAGGTTGAATTTCCATCACTTAAAGAGCCTTTACCTGTTACACTTACGGAAAGATACCAGCCACTCCAGAGCAACTTACTGTATTTGAACAATTACTATTAATCAACTGTTCCAATATTGAAATATTTAACACAGTCCAAAGGTACGACTGAATGTGAAGGTGCATGGGCCCTTAGTGTGTCCCTCCATCACCTCTTCTTTCAGGCGCAAACTTGACAGGAGATGAAAAACTCAACAAGCAGCAACATCCATCACCTTGCCCGATTACGAAGTTACTAGACCTCGCTAGAAAAGACAAATAAAAGATAGTGTAATATTTTAGAATTGCAAGCTTCCTCCCCAACCATCTCTTTATTCATTGACACAACCAAATCACCCTCAAAAACGAAAATGTTACAAACACAAACAAAGAGAAATACATACATAAACCATATTAGTTTCAACAAAGCGACAACACGTTTGGTCATCATTTTATGTGCTGACATTGTGTACAAAAAATCAACAGAATGATTCCTTTTATTAAACTTGCACTTATAAAAACTACCACTTGTATTTCCTGACACTTCAGCAATTATCAACCATACAACCAAGTACCACACAATGAGATTTTAACCAAGATCAATAATTGGTCAAAATAAATTAAATCTGGCGAAGAAAATTAAATTACCTGCGAAACTGAAAAGGTCCGTCTCCTCATCTGCTTTTTTTCAGTTCCACTCTGCCCATCATTGTTGAACTGTCTTCAATCACTTGGTCATGCACCTGTTGGATGAGAAAAAAAACAACGCTCAGAGACAAAAGCAAAGACCCATCAGGAAAAAAGATAACGGAAGAGTGTAAACAAACACAAGTTATTATACAATGCACTGTGACGAAACTTCTGCCAACACTCAATTAAGATATAGCCACAAATCTGTTTTCATTTTTGCGTTTTGTTAACGTTTTGAATGAACTGGCCATTGTGTCTGTTGTTCGCACAAGTATAAACGGATTTGAATACCACTTTTTTTATGTGCGATGACTGCAATCAGAGCTACATCTCTGCAAGTGTTATTGACTTAAGAATACAATAATCGGTTTTTGCCATAAAACTTAGCCCTGAATTTTTTTTTTGTCGGCATATACATACCAGCTACGGCACTGCGAGTACTGTCCGAAAGATTTCAAACTGAAGCATCTTCGAAAGTCATACATAACTCCTCCATACTGGTTCGACAATCCATGCTGACTTTGGCTCCTCCTCAATTCCTGTATGAATCATTGCTGAGTGGGGTTTCGTCATCTGTGAGGTCTTGTAAACTCTTCTGGAATTTTGAAAAGGATTTTTTTCTTCAGAAGCTGAAAAAGTGAGATTAACTACCCTACCTGTCCTACCTGCCAAACTTAGACTCTGCATACTCCCCAAAAAATATGCAAACCATGTCTAGTATCTACACAAAACAAAAACAAGTTTATGTAGAAATACCACCTGCCTATGCAATGATTGATTACTTAGGCCAATACATTTACGTAATTACTCACTCCCTGCACCGTGAGTCCATTTTGTTATTGCACCATTCACAGCACAGGCTACAAACAGCGGTATAATTATCCATGCTTGCATTTACCTAAAGTTTTGATACAGAAATTTGTGTTATGCATTCTCACTATTGTCACAGCAACTTTTAGTTTTACACAAAGGATCAAGGAACTACCCAGCAACTTCCTCCGTTTTGTGACTTGTACATGTACAAGAGCACCGGGGTGGTGACAGCAACATGTGAAATCGAAATCGGGAGTGTTTATCCCCCACTTGATAGGCCTATTCCCTATGGAAGATAACCCACCTGGTTTAATAATCAGGGGAAGTAAAACGGTATAATGTACATGACCCACGACCTATCACCGCTGTGTAGCTGTACGAAGAAATCCAGTATGGCAGTAGTTGACCTCGAGAAAATATACTGCATTCCATTCTACAATCACTTTTGGACGATCCATTTTTACTTTTTAGCCTGAAAATTACATGAAAACTGAAACTCTACAGTGCAGAAAATCGAATTATATTTTTCCTGGTTATTATTTTTTTTAACCAGGTAGGCTTAAGTACATTTCATCATCATGCATTTCATGTCCATAAGGTCTACCAAGTGAAAAAAAATGCAATTTCTATTTCCTCAGAAACAACTTTTCAATACAAAGGAAATCCAGTAATTGAGCCACATTTATTCATGGTAACAATATCGTCTCGGAAAGTTTAAGTCACACGTCCATTATACTGTACAGTTCAAAACGCCAATGGAGGATTATTTCTCAGGATTTCTCTCACTACTTTCCCATTGAACCCGTTTTAGTACAGCTCAGCAATACACTGTTCCGAGTGCCGGGATGCATGCGGTCGACCTGGTTCCCATACGTACCGGACGCCGGTATCATCAGTGACCATGCATGCCAGTGTCCCCGACCCCAGTGATGTGTCAATATTTGTTTATCGTTTTGGGGAGAAATTGGTTGCAATTAATAAGTAAGTGCTTCGAATAAACGTCAGGTATGTCTAAGCAACATCATAACAATAACTACGAATTTTGATGGCAAAATTCTTACCTGTTATTTGAGTAAAATGATGTCGGCTGCACGCTACACGTCCACACAACTGCAGTATGATGTCGAAATATGTAACGGTCATATGCTTGCGCGCCATATCGTGATTCAAAGAGAGTACATGAAAACTGATTGGCCAGCGTCACAACCTTGGAATGTAGAACAAATTACGCGCCGTGTGATTGGCTAGCGTCACAGCTTTGGCGTGCTGACAAATAATATGTTTTCATAAAAAAGGCCACAAAGTTCAATTAAGTCGGCTATTTTGTTTATATTTCTTGACATAATATTTTGCACTTTGATAGTTAAAATTATACGTTAATTGATACAGCAGGACTGACGTTGAAGTAACCGCGAGGATACTCAATTTCAAAGCAATGCAATATGTTTGATTGCGACGCACTTAATTTCGACATGTTTTCAACTTTGGACTAATTAAAATCCGTATGTTAAACAAAGTTTACCAAACCGACGTTGGTACATTTAGGTCGTTATCACGACGCAATTTTAAGCATTTATCCAACATCAGAATAATGTCAAAATACGTTGGAACAATTACAAAACTGACGATTGATAGACATTGAATTTAACATTGTTAATATCGTGACGCAATTTAAACGCATATTCAACGTCAGATTAATGTTGAAATCTGTACGTTGGAACAACGTTACCAAACTGACGTTGAATAGACATGGAATTTCGGTTGTCAATATCGTGACGCAATTTAAACTTTTATTCGACGTCAGATTAATGTCGAAATCTGTACGTTGGAACAACGTTACCAAACCGACGTCAGAGAGACGTTAGTTTGAGGTTGTTAATATCGCGACGCAATTTTAACATTTATCCAACGTTAGATTAATGTCGAAATATGTACGTTGGAACAACGTTACCAAACCGACGTTGAATAGACATTGAGTTTTGGTTAATAATATCGCGACGCAATTTCAACCAACATTTAACGTTGGATTAATGTCGAAATATGGACGTTGAAACAACGTTACAAAACCGACGTTGGCTAGACATTGAATTTAGGTTGATAATATCGCGACGCAATTTCAACCAACATTCAATGTTGGATTAATGTCGAAATATGGACGTTGGAACAACGTTACAAAACCGACGTTGGATAGACATTGAATTTAGGTTGATAATATCGCGACGCAATTTCAACATTTATTCGACGTTGAAACAACGTCAAACTGTAACATAAAATCAACGTCGCAAAAGTGACGTTGAAATAACGTTGTTTTACGGTATTTCGACGTCGTGACGTCATTTCAACCAACATTCAACGTTGAAACAACGTCATGTGCCCACTGGGAAACCTCTTTCGTCCAAAAATTTAATTTCAAGAATCGTCGTCACAGTTCTCTTCAAACATCACTAGCGATAAAACCTCAGTTTGAAAGATAAAATATTCAACAAAGTCCATTTGAGGGCCCGTCTTAAAAAAACCTATTTTTAATAAATCATAATATGATTTATTGTTTGCCTAAACATGATTGTTAATAAAGATATTGTGTACTGCAGTTGTTGATAGTTGTTAAAATAGTATTCTATGTCATTTTCTTTGTTGTTCCAAACAGTCCGAAAACACAATAATTTTTTTTTGTATACGAAACATGTTGATATTCTTTTAAACACTACTTTTTTCATCTGAAAGAATCTTATGAAATTGGCTTTCTAGTCATTATTATTTTTGGTGCTACAATTTGTTTTTAAAAATGAAATAGAATTTTAGTGGTTTGGGTTCCGCTTTTGTTGACTCGCCCTGTAGAATGCCATATCACATCCTCGTACTCAACCATAGGTCTGACATAACTGTTGTAAACAAACAAAAGTTCCTCGTGATCAAATCCAAATCGTTTCAGTGACCTCAACACGAAAAGGCGTTTTTATGGTCTGGTTGCCCTTGGGTACAAGCAAGTTGGGATTAGTTTTAGTCAAAAGGTCAAAGGTCAAGGTCACCGTGGTTATTAAAAGCTGAATGGTTTCCTTATGATAACTTGAGTTAGACGTGAGATTTGGTGTCTAACGTTGGTAGGGTATGCGCTTGGCTACAAGCAAATTGGGATTGGTTTCGGGGTCAAAAGTCAAATGTCAAGGTCACCGTGGTGAGTTAAAGGCTAATTGTTTCCACATATTATCCCATTTCATAACTTGAGTTAGAAATGAGACTTGGGTTTCTAACTTCAGAAGGGGGTTATCATTAGGTTACAGGCAAGTTTGGATTGGTTTTGGGGTCAAAAGGTCAAATGCCAATGTCACAGTGGTGAGTTAAAATTTAATGCTTTCCGGATGATAATTTGATTCCGGCTGAGGGGTTTCAACAACAACTCTGTCATAATTGTGTGACATTATGGTGTGACATAGGTGTCTTTGTGTTCTTATTTTATAGACATCGTGACTTCATTTTGGCAGTAATGTCGGTGTTACAAAAAATTACATTGAAGCCGATAATCTATGTGTTTTCTCTCAATATTGATCAGTCCGGTGTTGTCAGTCATGCTCAACCGTTGGGCAAAATTTGATTTCAAAAAAAACAAATTGTTTTTTGAGTTTTCTTGTGACATAGGTGTGGCTGTGTTTCTGTTTAAAGGTATGGCCGATTTTCTGGACACCGTGACTTCATTTTGGCAGTTTTGTCGGTGATACAAAACATTATTCCGATAATCTCTATATTTTCTCTCAATATTTTCAGTAGACTTTGACTTCACTTTGGATGGGGTTTGTCCGTGTTACTAAACATTATTTTGACGCCGATAATCTGAGTATTTTCTCTCAATATTTAACATGCTTATGTTGCCAGTAATGCTCAACCTCTAGGCAAAATTTCAATCCAATAAAATAAATAGTTTTTGAGTTATCGTGTGGCATAGTTGTGATTGTGTTTCTGTTTAAAAGTAAGGCCGATTTTGTGAACACACCGTGACTTTATTTTGGCAGTTTTATAACATTATATGGACGCCGATAATCTCTATATTTTCTCTCAATTTTTAACAAATAGTTTTTGAGTTATCGTGTTGCATAGTTGTGATTGTGTTTCTGTTTAAATAGTAAGGCCGATTTTGTGTACACACCGTGACTGTATTATGGCAGTTCTATAACATTATATGGACGCCGATAATCTCTACATTTTCTCTCAATATTTAACAGGCTGGTGTTGCCAGTCATGCTTATAATACCGGAGTCTTATATAGCGCACGTATCTACCAACAATTAGGTACTCAAGGCGCTGGAAAAAATGTCTATTATTAAAGAAATGTACATAAAGTTTATGAGAAATATGAGACCCATTGTAGCACCTTTTCAAGGGTTTACAAGGTGCAGCGGCGCATATTGCAGCCACTGCCTTAACATCCAGGCAACGTTTTCATCAAATATAATCAATATTTTTGTAGTTTATTGAAACCCATAGGATTCCTTCCCGTATTCAAGGTATAACTGCAAGATACTTAAAGTCAGATGTGTCTTTTGCCATTTGGAGAAACTAGTCATCGTTCAAAAGTTCTCGTCATCGCGTTTTCCTGCTACAATGCCAACTCCAATAAAGTGTTCCTTAAATGTCATAAAGCACGTCAACAGTGTCACTTATACACCCACCACTGTTACTCCCCTTTTGGCAAATCCAAGTTTTGCCTCGACTTCCTGTAACTAATATGCGAAGGCCAAGTGTAAGGACGTCAAGTTGTGGGTGTAACCACCGTGACGTTGCTAACTTGCTCTGGGTATCAGGTGAGGCTCAGCAGGGCTGGTGTACCGACAGGGAATTGCAGATGTCACTGGACAAATAAGTAAGTCATATCGTGTCATGTCGTGTCGTGTCATGACGTGTTGTGTTGTGCCATCCTCTTTTTTTAATTTGCAGCTTGTTAATGAGGGCTACGGATCCCTTTGTAACTATAGTAGCGTGGCGGACTGTCTTGGACAACCAACGATGACCGACTCAGCGATATTACCCGGCTGTCGGTGATGGCGCTACACTGTACTTTGAGCAAGTGACACCTTCAGGATAGATTATACCGATTAGACGACATCAGATTTTACACAAAAGGCTATACCCATTTATTCAGTCAGGGAAACCCTAACTGAATTTGAATTAACAACTTAGTCATCATGCATAAACAAAAAACGTTATATCATAGCGGTGAATTTAATGCGAACTAAGGCTATCACAACATGCTAAGAACAGAAATAAAAGTTAAGTAAACGTGGTTTGCTTGAGTAGATACCCAGGCATTACTTGTTAATTTGTAATCAGAGTTAATGCGTTAAAATGCTATGCTAGTATACAAATGTTTTAAATATCTAAATTAAAGCCAACAAATCCAATTGTAAGATTCCTTGAGATTCCAATCATTCCATAATTAGGTGAGGGGAAACCCCCATCAAAACACCCTTTGGATTTGTCTATCCATTCTTCTTTTGTGTTCGTGTTCGTGTTTTTTTTTCTCTTCTTGACAACATTTCTCCGCAGCTTTCTTTTCAAGCAGAACAATGCACGAACTATAAAAATGGTAGGAACATCGATCTTGATACCAAGGTGTGCATACAAGTGTGACGTCATGATGACATCAACATGTATCAAATTACAAGCGAATCAAATTCAAAAAGTGATTGTATTGTCTCAGTCATGATTCTTGAACCAAAAAGAATGATGTTCACACTTTATGTTGTGATAAACCATGCCTTGGTGGCTATTTCATGTTGGGTACGTGCAAGTCGCTTGACCTTTACTTCCGATGTTAACGGAAGGTCAAAGTTACCGAGTTCAAAATACCGAAGGAAGCATGAATATTGAACGAAATTTCTTCCAAACGGTGTAAGGATCACTATGGAACTTTGCACAGGCATGCAACCTTGTCCAAATATGTGAGAAAATGTTGACGTCAGATATCAAATAACAAGCGGATTAAGGTCGAAACCTGACATGATACTTCCAACTATATCTTTTAAACTAAACGGATTACCAGATTCATTTTTAGTGAGGTGGTAGACATTTTCTTGACATTATTTGGTGCCCACTGGGGATCATTGTTGCAAAAATAATGATGCCATCACTTACATTTAGAAACAGTTAGTTAAAAGCAACATGCATGTAGTACCAACCCCCCAAAAGGATAGTCATCCCTTACGGCATGTACAATTTGTCTCACCAAATAAAAGATTGTAAATACAACAATGCAATTAACTAAATAAACATAACATTAAAAATGTAGCTACAACTACATGAATGTAGCACAAAACGCCTGTGTATAAACATCTTGACAAAATTGTTTGCTAGACTAGTGAAGACACAAAAATGCATTTATCTCTATTAAACGTGCGCATGAAAATTGAATATCTGATAAGAGTGTAAGAATCATTTAGTTAGAAGCAACATATATGTAGTACCAACTAAATATAAGTATCGTCATCCATTATGACATGTACAATTTGTTTCGCCAAATACAATGATTGTAAGTACAACAGTGCAATTAACTAAATAAACTTTAAATGAAATATGAAGCTATAACTACATGTATGTAGCCAAAAGCGCCTTGGTATAAACATCGCGACAAAATTGTTTGCTAGACTAGTGAACACACAAAAATGCATTTATCTCCATTAAACGTGCACATGAAAATCGAATATTTTATAAAGGTGAAAGCATTAAAAATGAATAGATTTGAGTTTCATTTAACTTATGCCAACACAGCCAATTTCATCTTACATGTGTACAAATTCCAATTAGGCAACTTGTTTTAAGCAATCTTTATAAAGAAAAGAATTTGCTTATTTTAATTTCATGTAATGCACGCATGCCTCAAGGAACTTCAATAAAACCGTTAAAAAAATTAATTAAATGTTGTTCTTTGTGAGAATTCCATTGGCTTGTCACTTTGGTTGCATTCAAATTACCTTTAAACGTGCCTCGTGTGACATGGCCCTAACATTACTAATACCACTACAACTATACATATTTAAGATTGAGTATAATTATAATTTTGATAATAAAAAGTATAACCTACTATCAATATCTAATTTGACTATAATATACAAATAATGAATGTTTGTGAGTGCAATGGTAAGAATAATTTCATGAGGT